CCTTTTCGGAGCCAGCAAGACTACATGGAACTTTGACAACCCAATGCGCCGTGATACGATCACAATCCCAGGATACTCACACCTGGTGCTCCGCATAACAGCAGACAACCCAGGTGTTTGGGCGTTCCATTGCCATTATCTGTGGCACGCTGAAGGTCGGTTATCCACTTACTTTCCCAGGGCCCAAAACATGAACTAACATTGCCGCAGCTGGTATGTTCGTCTCCATTGCTCAGCGGATGGGCGAGCTCGCGAGTATGCTGGGCACATTGGACGCCAACGGTGATGCCGGTGCCATCAAGAAGAAATTCTGCCCCATGGCCAAGGCACAATCTGGTGCTCCTCTCGCACAGCCCGTTAAGACCGGGGCACCTAAACTGCCTCGGACCCTTTGATGTATGTAAATTAGATTGGTTGTGACAAGAGCTGTTGATAGAAGTAAATACTCGAGTACACATTTAGACACTGGATGTACTGAACCCGATACACTTGTGCAGCTACTGAGATTTTGAAAAAGCTATCATTCAGCGTGACAATGATTTTACCAATTCAAGATAGCTTCATTAAATGACGGCCCCGTCGCAGGTCGTCGGCGCCGGCAGAGCCGCATGATAATTGCCATTTGCGACCAATCAGTAATCGTTCCGACAGTCATCAAAAACGTAATTCCAGAAGAGGAAGGCCATTGAGAGTGAGCACTTTTCAATTTATCAGATATGATGGCATTTGGTTAGCGAAAAGCTACCGGAAGAAGTTGACCTGAACTTTACTGAATGGACTTGTGTGTTAAAATAACCAAAAACACGACAGAATAACCGCCGCTAGTGAAATCCCGCTCGTCGTTGGATCGATCGTGAAGCAAAGGGACTCCCCCGCATCTAGAAATCACGGATGCCGACGGAACCTTTGCATTGACTCCAGGCTGCAGCGCCCGTCCTACCACCTGGAGCTCTGCGGCCTTGTACCGAGCACCGAAAGTCGAGTGTGACAATGGACCGGTTTCTGCGGGATGCTACATGGCAATTTCCCAGCCGGGGTGGGCAACGTTATGCTAAACTTTCTTGGTTGATTAGCGCAAATCTTCAACAGTCGGCAACGTCGGACGAACATTAGTTCCTAGGATTAAGGTTGCCTGGCACTCTATTTGAGTGTTGGTAGACTGCCGCAAGTTGCGGAGTCATTAGCCAATCAGAACAACAATAAACCCCTGGTTTACATTATCTCAAGCTTTCTTATCCCGGCCCTAAGGTCGCAAAGGGTAGGTCGCTAACGGATACACGTGCAGACGAAAGGTGTTCCTGGGACTGGTCACTGCATGTCGGCTTCGCTTATTTGCGAGATCGCCAGGTACGAGAAGTTTACTGGTGCAGATTGCGAGACCCTCAAGGGCTAGATCCCGCCGATATGGTGCCACGGTATTGTTCATTCCGCCCCTGACATGGGGAAGCAATTCACCGTCCGTGGAAACTATGTCACATTGGAGTATATAGAGCTGTCCGGTTGGCATGTGGAATGCAACGACGTCCTGTCTTCAGCGTCAAGATCTCCTCCATACGCCAAGGACTCAACTCCAGATTGAGTTGACAATACCGCAGCAATGGCAAAGACTTCTCTCACCCTCCTCTTGGGCACCCTCTTCGCGGGGGCCGCCTTTGGTGCTGAGCTTCGCAAGACGTATATCGTCCAGATGAAGCACACCGGGGCCTCCGGTCTCCGACGCAGAGATCTGTTCGACTCTTCCCTCATCTCCGTTTCCGCCGATCCTGCCAACGTGCTCTACCACTATGAGAACACGGTCAACGGATACGCCGCCAAGATCACAGATGGCCAAGCTGACGCCCTAAGAGACCGGGACGACGTCCTGTCTGTCACTCTTGACAAGGCCTACCGCCTTCACACCAGCAGAACCCCGAACTTTCTAGGCATCGACGATGCCTCGCTCCTTGGGCGCGGGCTCGACATCGGCAGCTACCTGGATGAGAGAGACGACTACAACGGCACCAACCCAGAGTCCAACCTCATCGTCGGCATCTTCGACACGGGCGTCTGGCCCGAGAACCCCAGCTACAAGGATGACGGCATGCCGCCCATCCCTGCCAACTGGAAGGGCGAGTGCGAGATCAGCGAAGACTTCCCGGCCACCAGCTGCAACAAGAAGCTCGTTGGCGCGAGGGCCTTTTACAAGGGATACGTCGCCGCCGTCACCAACGACACGGGCTCTTTCAACTGGACCGGAGAGTACCAATCCCCCCGAGACGACGACGGACATGGTACGCACACTTCGTCCACCTCAGCCGGAGCCGCCGTACCGAACGCTAGCCTTTTCGGCCAGGCCTCCGGTACAGCTCGGGGTATGGCCGAGTTCGCTCGTGTCGCCATGTACAAGGTCTGCTGGAAGGAGGGCTGCTTCAACTCTGACATCCTCGCGGCCATGGATAAGGCCATTGAGGATGGCGTCAACGTCATGTCTCTTTCTCTCGGCCCCGATCAGCCCTCCTTCAGCGAGGATGATGGTTCAGCACTCGGTGCGTTCGCTGCCGTCCAGAAAGGTATCTTCGTCGCCATGTCTGCCGGTAACTCTGGTCCGGGAGCAGGCACTGTTGCCAACCTTGTAAGTATCTCTCGCGCTTCCATTCTCCTTTTTCGCTTCGCTCCATTGGTGTGGTAAGTTAACACTATCGTAGGCCCCTTGGGCTCTGACCGTCGCCGCAAGCACGCTTGACCGTGACTTCCCTGCTCATGTTACCCTCGGCAACGGCAAGAACTACACCGGTTTCTCTCTCTACAGCAACGGTTCCGTCACGGATATCACGCCTCTCCAGGCTGGCGAGGTGCTTCCCCTCGTCCACGCAAGCCAGGCGGGCAAGGGCAACGTCACCAACGCCAACCTATGCCTGGCAGACAGCCTTGACCCCGCCAAGGTTGCTGGCAAGGTCGTCGTCTGCGTGCGCGGAAACAACGGCAGAACCGAGAAGGGCGGCGTCGTCAAGGCCGCCGGTGGTCGCGGTATGGTCCTCGTGAATGCACCCGCTAACGGTGACGAGCTGATTGCCGATGCCCATATCCTGCCTGCCCTGCACCTTACTGCCTCAGATGGAGCCGAGGTGGAGGCCTACGCAAAGACCGGCAACGGCACGGCTATTTTGGACTTTGAGGGCACTAGACTCGGAGTCCCGGCTCCGCTTATGGCGGCTTTCAGCTCGCGCGGCCCGAACTACATCGTCCCGCAGCTCCTGAAGCCGGATATCACGGTACGTTACGGGAAACAATATCAAGTTGTGAGGGAGGCTGTGTATGATTGTCAATAGACTAACACAATGACAGGGACCTGGTGTTTCCATCCTGGCAGCCTGGGCCGGCACTGGACCTACCGGTCTTGACATTGATACCCGCAAGGTCGACCAGAACGTTATCTCGGGTACGAGCATGTCGTGCCCTCACCTGAGCGGTCTGGCAACCTGGATCATGGCCCGCCGTCCGGAATGGAGCCCGGCCGCCATCCGCTCAGCCATGATGACAACCGCCTACACAAACACCAAGGGTGCCAATACCCCTCTCCTGGACTCCTCCGACTCCAAGGCCGCGACCCCTTTCCTCTACGGAAACGGCCACGTGGACCCCGTCGCCGCCCTGAACCCGGGTCTCGTTTACGACATCGCACCCACCGACTACCTCCCTTGGCTCTGCGCCGTCAACTCGACCGTCGCCTTCACGACCGCTATCACCAGAAGCAACTTCACCTGCGCGTCCAACCAGACCTACAGCGTCTACGACCTCAACTACCCCTCCTTTTCTGCCCTTTATGATAGCGCAGCTGCCTCCAGCGGATCCTACACCGCCACCTTCAAGCGCACCGTGACCAATGTCGGAGGTGCCGGCACGTACAAGGCCGACATTTCTCTCAACGACGCTGACTTGGTCAAGGCCTCTGTGACGCCCGAGACTCTCACTTTTGAGGCGGCTGGAGAGAAGAAGACGTTCGAGCTGACTGTCACGATGAGCTCCCCGCCAACCGCCGACGCTACTTCCTGGGGCAGACTCGTGTGGTCTGACGGAACCCACGTTGTGGGCAGCGCACTGTCGTTTGTGTGGGGCATTCCGGCTCCAGATGCCGCTTAATTCCTGTAGACGTGAGACATTGTTGTCGCGCCGTTGCAGAACCTTCGTCGAAGCCTTTTTAGCTTTCTTTGTTTGTATGTTTTCTTCAAATCTGGAGGAAGTAGCCTTGTGGGCGGTTGAGTTATCTTTTCGAGCTGTGGGTCTTTGGGAAAAGCGAGAAAAGCGAGAAGATTGCTCGCGGGGCTTTGTAGAGCCGCATTCAGGCACAATGCCTGTAGCTGAACTCAATTCATTTTGTTAATCTCAAACCAAAAATCCTTCGTTGTTGACGTAATCTGGTATTCAACAGTATGTGATTTCTTTTCCTCTAGGCTGGCAATGGAATTCCGCCAAACCGTCAGGCACACGAGCCAAAGTCCCGTATCTTGGCCAAATCAAGTGTGGCCGTGTTGCTTGGTAGGGTCAGCACTAGACCATGTACGCCTTGGCGCTAGCGATAATTGAAGGATCAACTTCAGTATTGTGAAGGTTGTCGACGGAGTGAAGGATTCGCGGGATCAGCTTTAGACAAATGACGGATAGGCAAAAGGAACGAACCGTCAAGGGTAAGATGGACATATCGAACACCCGATACGAGCACCGACTTACACGCTAACTACGCGTGGCTTGCGACCCCTGCGTGGGCTTACTGGTGATGCAATCGCAACCAATAAAAAAGCTCTGCCTTACTCACTCTCTTGATATCGTGACCAAGCTTTGCGAGAAAAAAGCCAAAAACGAGTTATTTAACACTAAACTAGGTACTTTGGGCTTTAGCTGATGGCGCCAGAGGCTCTTCGCCGAGTCTCTAGTTTGAAATTGCATCTTTGTTCGAAAACCCGCAAACACGGCGGTCTTGCCCACTCATAATCACTCCGCTTCTCAATTAAGTTTTCTTGACACGGAAAATCGGAAAGGTTGTCTTCGTAAACTTCAGCAACCCATCCCGGGTAACCCTGGCCCCAGTTTCCACCCCCGGTGCGGCCGTGCCGCAGCCCGGTGGTGACATGTCATGTAAATGACGATCAGCCCCCTTGGGCAACTCGGGGTGCCTGGACGATCTATATTTACTTCCTGAAGGACGACATTCCCACGTTTTTGGTTCCTTTATCTGAACTTGTGTTCCCCAGACGGCATGTCACTTTTTCTTTGAAAGCTGAAAGACAAATCACATCACACATCAAAAGAATTGGCCATGCACGTCTCACTCAGCCGCTCGCTGCAGCTGCTGACGTTTTTCACGGGTTTCAGCTCTGCGGCGACGATCACGACGACGCCCACGACCTCCGTCGAAGTTGACCTTATCTTCCCGCGCAATGGCAGCACCTACAAGCCCGTCTGGCCTTTTCCCTTCGTCTTCGCCGTTCAAAACGCCTCGAAGCTCTGGCCAGAGTCTGAGGAAAAGAACTTTTACAACTTTTGGGTGAAGTGGGATCTCACGGGGTACACCGATATCAACAATGCGGATACGGGGCAGCTCTTCAGCTCGGGTGTCTGGCAAACCGAAGCCAAGAACAAAACCGCTGACACATATACCATCATCGACGCTTCCCGGAGAGACCTGGTCAACGCGACGCAGCGGGAGTTCCGCCTACGATACACGGCGACCATGTTCAGCGCTTGTCCAAAGAACGTCACTGGCGAGGGGCCGTCGTCAAAAGTCTACGACGTCTCGTACAATGGCACCGCCTTCTTCACAACCGATCCCAACGGACAGGTCCCCTCCCTTGTCGACACGACTTCCTGCCCCGACTTTGTCGGCAGTTTCCAAATCACAGGCAACAGCCACGACTATGGCGATATCTGCCCCGTGGTATCGGACAAGGAGCCCGCGTCTGAGGCCTGTGAAATCAAGATGGACGCGGCTCTGGAGACGCAGGTCAAGGCGGCGATGCTCACTCGTGCAAATTGCCAGAACGGGACCTGGCCTGACCCCGAGGGAAAGCTTTCAGCGTTATCTTGCAATGCGGTCAAGACCAGCGATGCGAGTGCCAAGTTGCTCGGCAGCCTTGTCACCAAGTCCTCGGCGCTCGTGTTGATCTTGGCCGCATCTTGGGCAATAGTCTGAGGGTCCGGCGTTGCCCCACACACACATTCACACATTCTATCTGGGCTGAAATGCCGTCATCAAATGTGGCGGCTTTTCAGCTTGGCAGCAGCGTTGATTTTAGCCAACCTTTGGCATTTCTGAAATTTGAACTCTTGTTTTATTTTGTACATATTGGAATAGCGGTTGGGCTAAAAGATACCATCCTAGACAGAGGGAGTTTTGGAGTTGCTTGTACGCGAGATGAGCCTTTCGCCGGTGGTGGTTGGATTATTTATCTTCACGGTTCAGTAGAATTAACTTCCCTTCAAAATGTACATATAAATCCGCCTTTTTTTTTCAAAAGAGAATTTAGTTAGAGTATAGCTCGTTTAGATACACAACATCCAAAGGCTATGCCAAGTCCTTTTTCAGTTGAAATTGCACAAAATACCATAGAAGCTTCACAAACATATTGCATCCTCTCTCTCCCAACTGAATAACAGATTTTCCATCTTGATTAATGCCTGGTAGTTGGAACCGGTATTCATGATCCTTCTCAGGTGGGCAATAATCGCGAGGCCTTTCTGAACTGGAAATATCGTCATTGGTTAGTTTCGATGGCGTCCACTTAGATCTGAAAAGTTGTGGCAACAAGATGTTCATGTATTTTGAGATCTTCTTAAATAGTCTGTCATAAGTCCAATCTGATGCTAAAGTAGGCGGGCTGTCAAGCTCACCTCACGTTAAGAGAGCATTCACTCTAGTCTGGCTTACCAAGCTATATCAAGCGACACCAGGAACCTCATGTTTGACCGCGTGCACGATTGAGTTGACACGACAACATAGCTTAACTTTTAAGCCATGACATAATTGGTAGGCTGGTTATTTCATGGGCTTCTTCTGAGTCCGCTGCCTTGATACATGCTGTTTTCGCCACATGTGAAAGTTGCGTACCCTGGAACGAGATGAACAGGAATCTAAAAATAGCAGTTGGTGATGTCCCTGAGTAGCCTGGTGATTTGAGGAGTTGATTACGATACCTAATACTACGCGCGTCACGCAAGTATACTCCCTGAAGTAGGTAAAGTATCTAGATATCGAACTTTTCTTTGACTAACTCTTCACTAAGCGCCCAGAGCTTGTCAGCATACTCCAGGTTCCTGTCAAATCCAGTACAATGCTCGTCATCAAGCTTGCAGCCAGCGATATAAAGGCCCTTTGACTCAAGGCTCGACAGGCCCGGGCTCGGTAACTCGGGACCCACGGCAGAGAGGACCGAGGGATCGACGCCTTGATCTAGTGTCTTGGCGGGAGTCTCGAAGCCAAGTTTCTTGACCCTCTTGAGTGCCTTCTTAATCTCCTCCGATTTGGCGTGGCGATTGATGTTTTTGGTGACTGCGCCGGGATGAATAGCGTAGGAGCCGATGCCATACTTGGCTTCCAGCGTCTGAGTAAGTGACAGCGAGTATAGAATGTTGGCCGTCTTGGACTGGCCGTATGACAGGAAACCAACGTAAGACTTGTCGGACCAATCTTGACCCTTCGAGAAGCTGGCCTTCTGAAGATCAGAAGTTCTTCTTCGGGAAGTTCCTCGGGAATCTTGCTGAGCTGATGTCTGAGAAATGAACCGGCGAGACTTGGTGTCCGTAGGAGCTGACGTTGATATCTTTAGTAGGTATGGGAGATATCTCTACTGCCTTGATAATCTTTGGCAGGATGCGGTTCTTGAGGAGGAAGTGGCCGACTTGATTGGTGGCAAATATCATTTCGATGCTAGCTTTGAAAAGTTGTAGGTCAGGAAGAGCCATCACGCCCGCGTTGTTGACAAGCATTTCAGCTTTGAAAACTCTCCTGTCTTTATCGATTTTGATGGCAGCAGCGCGTACTGGTGCCACAGACGACAGGTTCATGATGAGAGCATCATACTGGACCTCTGCGTAGGATGCTTTCAAAGTGGCGATTGAGACCTGACCCTTTCCGGGGATCGGCCCGCCAGAATGAGGCGCTCCGGACGCTGTGAAGCAAAGGCAGGAGCAGTAGCCAGAGCAAGACCATACGATAAGACGGTGGTAACGATAATAGTCTTGCCTGTGATGCTTCCAGAGTACGCCGCAGCAATTCATGTGGCTGACGTCAACCCGTCGAAGTCAGTTTTGGAGGGCATGGTGCCGATATTGATGACGGTGAACCACTTGGGACTAGAAGATCAAATCGGTATGACGATGAGCAACTTGAAAATTCTGCTTCTGATGAAAAGACTTCTCTTACCTTATATACTTAATTCGAAGGCGATTCTCGGGTCAAAAACTAAACGAAACCCCATACATTGAATTAGGGACACTCGAGGTACTCAATGGACTACAACTCGCCGAAGCAACGCGTCTACGCGTGGAAAAGTGGAAATATTTCCTCTCTTGATGCTTTCGAGGTTTGTACTTAACTACGATCCATCCCCTCTAAGATCGGGAAGTCGGGTCTAGCCCTACTCCAGTGGCGGGAAGGAGTGTCGAACGAGTTGTAAACGCAAATGAAATTGATTCCTAGTGGTCCCATGTTCCAACACGTGTTTAAAAAGGGCGGAAGCACTCCACATGGACACTATAACGACAGGGTCCAGCACCGCTAAAGACATAAGCACTTACACCAATTGGAACGACTTGCGGTCCGCACCTCAGCACTCAATATTGTATTCTTGACAAGAGCTGGGGCAGCTGGAAGCGAGAAGATATATCCTGGATGTTCAGTCATTACGATTTGGTGCACTACTACAGTTCTTCCTGAACATGGGTGAAGTCGTGGAGTATGGATACTTTAGCTAGTACCTTAGCTGTCGCTTTGTTCAAGTCAAAGCACGAGTTGACTTCACTTACCTTACACTGGACCTATTTTTGCATTTGAATAAGGCAGGCACTTACTTGAATCCGATGCAGTGATGGGCGAAAGGGACTCATAATTTCGTCTCTAAGAGGTAAGGGTAGACATGCAGAACGTTCAACACGCAAGGTACTTAGTCTGTTTTTATATACCATCAAAAACATATTGAAATAGCTTGAGCTGCGAAGCACAATTTTGATCAGGCTCATGACGGATGATGCATGTATGATCAATACTATGTCACTGTATCTGCGGTCTGGTCATTAGTGAACGCTTAATCCAGGCAGGGGCAATGGTCGATGGTTCAGGTGCTCTCAGTTACCATCACTTTCGAAGTTCCGATCTGGCTGTATGCGATGTAGCGCTGAGTTCGAAGTAAATACTAATATTTGAATTCAACCACAGACCATTCACTGAGAGTCTCTCAGCTCTCAAGCTCCTTCCACCGGCTTCTGTCCAGATAAAGCGTGATAGTAAACATAAGTATGGAAAGCCGCATTCCTGAGGTCTTTCCGCACTTGCATTAGCAACACTTCGACCTCCTCTGGAGTCCAGCCCAGCCCTCTCGTCAGAGGACCCATCGTAATAGCCTGTAGTCCGTCGAACAAGACCGCCTGAGAATACAAGCCAATGGTTTTCAGGTTGTCATCTTTGGGCCACCTCCCCAATGGCACCTTCTTAACATCATGAACCTGCGTCACGAAACCACCAGCCCTGAGACGCTCCGGGTTGGTCTCCGATGCGTAGAGCTCGAAGCCGAACTTGCCGAGTCCTTCTTCGATAAGGTTCGCCATCTTGGTTGGGGCGTAGTCGGGACCCATCGTGTCATCGTCGCAAGCGAATCTCCATCTCAGCTCTTGCAGCTCGATCCACCCGCCCGGCTTTAATACCCTGCTATTATGAGCACTATTTCTTGTAACTTGTCTCTCTGATGAATGGTTACTAACCTATATGCCTGACGCAGAAGCCTAGGCCAGTCTTTGATGAAAGGAGCCATGTGCCGCAGGTGGATGAAATCAACTGAGTTGTCCGGATACAGCCAGTCTGCCTCTGCATCGTCGACCAGGAACCTGACATTCGGCGGTACAAAGCCGGGTTGGATAGGGCTCAGGTCAATCCCATCGATATTAGCTTCTGGATAGTTGTCGCCCACTTTCATCTAGTCAGCTAATGCCGTTCTGTTTACGGTAGAGAAGTCTCTTCACGTACTATCGATCGCCCAAATGCCAGTACCGGTACCAATATCAAGAATTTTTTGCGGATTATCTAGAGGCGCACTGTGTAAATCTCCGTCGCATATGTGAACCACCAAAGCGTGCTTCATGTCCTCGCGATCCTGCTCAGGCTCATCGTTTGGACACAGGTATCGGCCTTGCTTGAATTTGTGGTAGCGACGCTTATTCTCCCATTCATAGTCACGAACGCTCGAAGACAGTGAAGTCGAGGCATTGGAACTGCCGTCGCTGCCAGTCTCGTATCCATCAGTGGATGGGTCTGGATCTTCTTCAGCCACAATCGCTGCAGCTGGTGACACTGGCGCGGCCGGTGACGATGCGACAGCAGCCGGTGATACCGGTGCTATTGGTTGGGTAGCATTTCCGGCATTTTCAGTTGTCGGGGGAACTTCAGGGGTCGCTTTCACAGTGACTGCCTCGCCGACGCGCCCTTCTGTCATATTGTGAGTTGTGGGTTGTGGGAAAGGGTTCAGACAAAGAGTCTGTTCAGGATATCTCGCTCAACGCAAGGGATGTTGAAGTGAGGGGAATAATGTCCAGCATGCAAACCAACAGACATGCCTGGAACATTATCGCCCCATTTTTGTCGTTCGATAACTTCGATTGGGTCCTCCTACTGGGGCTCACATCAGAGTAAGGATCATGACCAATACCCTGCATCCATCTGGTATGGGGATGACATCGAACCCACCAGACCAAATAAAGTTCGTTGGGCATACGTTGTGAGACATTGATTGAGCAACTCGTCTTACACGTAGTAGCATTTCTCTCAGGAAACAGGCTTGCCATGCAAATCTTTACTAAAAATTTCAACTGAAGCTGAATGTGACGATAATTATGAAGCTGGCTTCCCGCTCGCACCTTGAGTATTTATCGTTACTCCCGCTTTGCTCAAACTTCCATGTCCACTGCCACCGTCATCATTGGCGATATCGATACTTGGCTCAGAGTCACGTTCACTCAGTCGAGTAAAGGGGCGCTCGTCCTCGGCACCGCCGCCGCCAACCCCTTTCCGCATCGCCCCAGTACCAGAGCCTCCTAGGTAACTGCTTCCATTTGTAGTGCTGGGCTTCGTACGGTCATTGAGTATGTATTGTCCGCCAGAGTTCTGGCCACTTCGTCTGATCGAAGATTTCAGTCTGCCATTCAGCGCGAGGTTGAGGATCGGTTTCAGGCATGGGAGACAGGCTAGTTCATGACAAATTATGTATTAGCTGAATCCCATTGTAAATTTTTTTGGGCTGACTGTGAGGCGAGAGGACCTACCGCAGATGATAGCTGTGTTAGCTTCGACATTAGTCCAGATAATGGTGTCGATGAAATTCCAAGTAATGTCAGGTGACGTGAGGTCAACTGAAAGAATCACATTTAACCGGGCCATGGAGACGACAGTAACGCTGTTCAAATTCGTCAGCAGCTGTTGTTTCTCCTGAAGATATTGCAGACTGCTAATCTACTCACAAAGTGCCGAGCGCAAAAATACCTGCAAGGGCGAACTTCTGTGCTTTGTGCAGCTGTAGCTTCCACACATAGGGGATAGGTAACAATACAACTAGTGCATCCGTTATAATATTGGGAATAGAGTTTCCCTTGAAGAACATCTTGACATCAACACCGCATGTGTACTGATCAGACGACAGGGGGTTGACTGTGTCGTAGCGTGCCCAAAAGGCATGAACAGGGAGACATTGGAAGATCGTAACGAGAATCTGCGAGCTTTGTTAGTGAAGTTCCCAGAGATCTTCAAACACCTAGACTGCATTCGGAGTCGAGGTCTTTCAACATACAACAGCAATGAACCAAGCTAAGACGATGCCGGCCATAGCCCAGATGTAATACCTGATGCTTTTACGGGCATTGAATATTCGCCAGTAGAGCGCCAATGTCGACCACTTGACTGTTGATAACGTCACTGTGTACGCTACTTCTGATACGAAAAGACCAATTGCCCACGCTCTTGTCGCCGAGGTTGGCGCTACCCAAATGTGTTTACCGGTACCATTCGGTATCACTACAAAAGGATCAGATTACCAGTATTGGAATGTAGTAGAATTCAGGCTCTTAATGATTGGACTGTGATTTCAAACTTCATGGAGTTGACTTACTGTATCCTATGCTTATAAAAACGTGCACAGCTGCTGCGGTCTAAAATTGAATTGTCAGCGAACATGCGTTGCCTTCGTGCACTTTTATCGCAAAATAGAAATTAAAAATTCCAAAAGGCACGGATTTTCGTTGCATACCAAGGAAACAGTGATCAGCCAGTCCTCCAACCAAAGCTTATTGGATTGTATTCGTCGGGCAAGAAACCGAAGCGCAACTGCGATGGCTGCGAGTGCCCACGTGCAACTGAGAGCACCAATGATGCTGGCAACTCTGGACTCGCTGAGATCTATGCCATCCGGAACTGGCAGAGAGGCCATCTTGCCTTCGGCTCTTTGAAGAATTCCGTGCTTGGGCTGGAAAAGAAAGAACAAACATCTGTCAGGTTAGACTTTCAGACTTTTTTTTTTTGGGCGCCTGAGCCAGACAATGGCCATGTTTATGTGTGACCAGCCGGAAACCGAGACTTGCCGTTCCATACTGGCCAATAACTCGGTTCGATTCATAACAGTAAGATGCAACAGAACTAGGCTCTTGGCCCTGGTTCTTGCGCCCGGAAACTGGGGCCGCCAGGTACAAAATCGAGATTGATTTCTCCACGATCCGGGCACAACCTGGGACCGCCGATTACCTATTACACCATCCGTTGGAACATCAACCCACCGGTCCACATAACGACTGGTTGGCATTCGTCTTACTCGTCAAGTATCACCAATTGGACTTGAAGGGAATTGTGACAAGGGCCCTAAGAGTTGGCCGTAGTGCGAAAAAATGGCATGTTTTGGGCTGCCCTGGAAATGTCACTGTAGCTTGCTTGAGTCGTGCGATATCCACTCCAAGTCACCAACCAACACAACCAAGCTAAGACTTACCAGGTGCCCTAGCTCAATTCCCACGAAATAGGGCCCATCTGGACGTAAATGCGCCCCAATATCGCCGGTCTCTGGTTCATATCCCGCCTGCTAAAGAAACAGGGGATGAACACCTTCCAAATTCAATTCCCGGCTCAATGAAATAATAAGTAACATGGTGTTCCCCTGATCAAGGTCTCTTACCCGATCAAGCTTCCTCATCTCAGTTCTCACTCTCACTCACCATCAACTTCAGCGGGACCCTCTTCAATCTGAATCAACTCCTCGAGACCGCAACTATCATCGACGCAATGAGTTCTCGTACGCCTCCCACTTTCCTTCTGGTACCGGGCGCCTGGCATCGTCCATGGTCTTTCGACCTTTTGCGCGATGACCTCCACGGCCGGGGGTTCAGTACTGAAACGGTTGCACTGGCCGGCGTGGGTAGCACCGATGTGAACGTGGGATTGGAACAAGACACGGCAGCCGTCCGCACCGAGCTGCAGAAGCTCATCGACGACGGGCGTGAGGTTGTCGTGGTTGCGCATTCCTATGGCGGTGTCCCTACTGCGAACGCGGTAGAGGGTTTTAACTACAAAGATCGAGTTGCGCAGAGCAAGACTGGCGGCGTTCTCATGGTCGTGTACATGACCTCTTTTGCCATCGGTGCCGGGTCAGCTCTTTCCGACGGCGCGGGCTCAGTGCCCTGGTGGGACGTCAAGGTGGGACAACATTCATATGCAGGTTCCGGAAAGTCAGAGACAATAGCTCATCGCTCTTACCTCTTAGGACGGCTTTATCTCACCTCTCGATCCGATCTCCGTATTCTATGCCGATGTCGAGCCCGCTCTCGCCGCCAAGGCCGTCGAGGCCCTGCGTCCTCAGCCTTTCAAGACCTTTCAAGACAAATCCGGCTTCGAACCTTGGAACGAAGGATTTGAGATGGGTTACATCTTTGCTGAGGATGACCAAGCCATACCGCTTGATCTGCAGATCATGATGGCTTCTCAATTTTCTCCCAGCTCCTTCACAGCTAGCCTTTCGGCCAGCCACTCACCGTTCCTCAGTATGCCCAAGGGCCTTGGGGATGCTCTGCAGCAAGCTGCTAAAACGGCTGTCGCAAAGACAGAGGGCTTGAGATAGTTTAAATAGTACATCTTGCAAGTTAAAAGTGAGTAGTGATGCATGCAAGTAGCCGGACTTCATGTGGACTATGAATCAGATGCCAGGAAGACTGTTTTATCGATGCTATCAGACAGCAGGTATTCATCCGGCAAGTCAACTTCGCTACTTCCCAGGTGGAAGATGCAAGAAGAAGTCGAACTTGCCCTCGGCCAAATTACAGCGCCAGATAAGCGTCGATTTTGCACGTGAATGGCATGGAACCCCATATGTTCCTAGGTTCCTGACAGATCCGAGCCTTGAGTAATGCCTTCATGTTGCTTGTAAGGTACTGGGCAGTTTCTTGTGCCATCTGGCTTTCATCATCATCTCCCCAGTTGCCGCTGTACCACAACTGTCTACAATCAGAGGTAGAGAATGCAGTCCATGGCTGTTTGCGTCCGTCCCTTCCACCGGTGCTTGGAATACCACAGGTGAGATACACATCAGTGTGGTTTTGTCCCAAAGTTATTCTAAGCCGCAGGCTCGTTCTATATGGCGCGTCCTTAGGAATTAGAAACTTGCTGTTCAGACTATCCCAACGATCTGGGGGAAAGCCCTCCACAACTTGCAACTTGAGATGCTCTTCGTGATTCTGTAATATCTGTAGATATACATCTACTCTCCTGGTGACGGACTCTTGTATCTGCCTCTGAATAGACGGTGTCACTCTAGAGATCACGCAGGCGTCTTCCTCTACCAACATAGTTCTCCGGGCGTCATCCAATTCCACACGCGTGTGTCGATACTTTGCTGCCATAGGCAGTACCCTTGAGAATAGATTCGGGCCGACTTTTCGAAGAAAAACATCGAATATCTCTGGGTTCTTGCAATTTGGCGAAGCAGCGTAGTCAAACTTCATTCCCAGGCAGTTAATCTCCGGAACCTCGAAAAACCGTCGCCGGCCGAATCGGATCCCGCGATTGGTCATGGAAAACTCTCGTCCGTCCAGCAACGTCCCTCTAATACGCGAGATACTGTTGGATTCAGAAAATGCTTCTGGAGACTTGGCGAGCATGTCGCAGAAATAAAGGTCTGAAAGATCTTGCGGCATCTTTTCTTCCCCATTAAATTTTGTCGTTGATTCAGGGCGCAGCGGCGCGTGGCAGAATATGGAAATGTCGTTTGAACGCCGGATGATCTCCTCCTGCAGGCGAAGGAATGCCCTGTCGCCCTCGCCATATAGCATCGGCATGTTGACGTCGAAGATTCCAATGAGACAGTAGGCAATATCCTCAACCCTCGTTGTAGTCCGTCTCGATGCCCATGACATCCTGCGCGCCACCGGCTTCGAATCAAGTAGTGTGCAGTCCCCTAGCACGTCCGCATCCACCCGCGTGATTCTAGAGATGGCGCCCCTGAAGTCTGACCTGTGTCCTCGGAAGTTCCACTTCTCGTCGTAGAATCGGAGGACCTTGGGCGCAATGAGTTCCTGGAGACACCAGCCGCGAGTGAACCATCTGCAGTCCTTCAAAGCATCGTCGGTAGACTCCCCCCTATCACCGGCGGCTGGCCAATCTGAGAGAAAGGCGTAGCATACCTTGGCATCACGATACCAGCCGAACATGGAGTTAATCGCCTCGCCGAGCTCGGCGCTACTCGTCTTGTCGATGCAGCAGGTGTCGATCCATGCGTACGCTATGCCGTTGGCCTTGGCTTCGCGGCATGTTGCCACGATCTTCTTATAGCCAGACTTTCGCGATGCCTTGTGATCTGGTGTTTCACTAATTTGTGTGAATTCCTGGAAGCTGACCTCCTCATTGTCGACCCATGTATGCGAGAGAATAGCATAAGCTGGTGCTAAATTGGCGGTAAAGAGCCTCAACTGGAGACTCTCCGTTTCGATGAGCCGGATTGACATGCTGTGTGGTGAATCTGCTACCTGGAATCTTTGGTGACCTGCAAGTTCGCTTCAGATATCGTGTTCGTCGTGGAGTTTCCTGTCAAAGAGCAGCAGAGCGGCCCTGGAAAGTACGCGGAACACGTACGAATCAACGGTTATGCCGCTTGGGCTGGGTGCCTGACTTTGAGGGCCTAGCTGAGTGTCGTGAATCCTAGTCATGCAGGTAACATGCATGGTGCACCAATAGCGTCGCTTGTCACGCTGCATCCAAGCCAATAGTCACTTACCATAATTGGCACGATAGCTTGTGTGTTCTCCATTCTTTCTGACTGTCACAGCTACTTGCTCTCTACTCGTCAACAGGGTTGATATCAGAACAAGGGCCGGGAACCCAATATCGAACTTACACCATGAACCAATATCAGGGGATAACACTAAAACACATTGCAAAGCTGCGTATGAGAGACAAATGTGACGGTGAATCTTTGAATTAGATGCATTACATAGTACTATTACTATACTAAATGCGAAATGGGTATTCACTTTGAGGCTTAAACGCCCCTTGCTTTGTGAGTTGCAATGCCTCAAACTCTGTGTTCAGCATCGCTCTGATACTGTCTCTTATCCTCATCATCTCCATGAGTTACCAAAGCCTCAGTCTTCTCGCTCACAGCCGCCGCAGGAGGCACCGCAGCATCATCACCGTCAAAGATGACAGCCATTTGCTCCAGGGTGTGTCCGCGAGTCTCGGGGTAGGCGAAGAAGACGGTGATCCAAAGGAGAGCAAGCATCACGATGAATACAATGTAGTACTTCCAGTGAATAGCCTCCAGTGCAATGGGGTTCACAAAGGTGTTGATGAAGATAGCGATGACGGTTGAGCACCAGGTAACGGTGAGACCTCGGGATCGAAGGCTGAACTGCCAAATCTCGCAAGGGTAGGCCGTGAGGAAGGGGGTCCTAGTGTCATGTAAGCGGATGTTCTCTTGAGAAGACCGCCCAATTCTCGACAGTTCGGGATTGGCCCTATATGGGCTCAGAAGACATAGACTTACATGGCGATGTCGTATCCAGCAAAGAAGATGAACAAGAATGGGATGACCGAGGATCCGATGGCCGATGACTGGGTCGTGGCGAAAGAACCACTGAGGCCAGTAATGATGATGAAGCTCACCAACATGACGCTGGCAGAAGTCAAGAACAGGAAACGGCGACCCAGCTTGTCGACGCTGGTGGCGGCAGCGATTGCCCACAGCAGGTTCCAGACGTTCAGGCAAGCCGAAATCAAGGTCTGGTTTGTGACTGATGTGACTCCAATCGAGTTCAGAATGACTAGACAAATGTTAGCAAAGTCAGATTGACAAGACCTATAGAAAGGTGTCGATAGGGTGGGATATCGTACGAGCTAGGCAGATGTTAGCTATCGAGACAAGGAATGCGATGTTATCGGTCAAAACTCACGGAGATAGTATGACACCACGCCATTACCAGCCCATTGGGCGTAGATACCGAGAGTAACCGAGATAAAGAGGCGATGACGGTTTCCAGGTGTCTTGATCATATCCATATACGAAGCGCTGGA